GAAATAGAGACCTTACTTCTTCGATATCTGAAGGTTCGACTTCATCTCTTCCACTCAACTGAGCAAGACGACACGCCGGGGTCAAAAGTTGGACAGCATATCTAGGAAAATAACAAAAAACTGTTTAATTTGGTGAGAAACAAAAAAATTCAGCAAGACAAATATTGTACAAAACAATCTTAAGTTTCTAAGCTGAAATATAAATATCTATAACCATGAGATTATAACAACTGCCGTGGGCGTTCTACTCATTGCCTTCGTACGACGAGTGTTATTTACAGAAATGAGAGAAGGAAAAGTGGATGTTCAGAAATTCAACCGGCTTGGTGGGACCACGTAACAGAGTTGGAAAACCGTGATTTCAAACCAATTGTACACATATGGGTTCCAAGATCCTAAGGAAATGATTAATGTACAAACCCACTTTGATCACCGACTACCATGGGACATTTCCTAACGTAGCCTCACTGCTTTGTCGATAAAACTGATACGGTGGGCCAATTAGAAATAAGTGAATGTGATTGGCCGAAAAATATATTTCATTTTCAAGCAATGAAACATAAACCACTAATAGGCTTAATTTATACTGGACAGATACATATGTATGTAAATGAACACACATACAATCGATTGGGCTTACCCAAACAAACATTTTCCTTAGCTTGTCTTTTTTCTCGAGTTGCCAGGCTCATTTATAGATAGTGTGTATCAATGTCAACTCTCAGAGACCACAGGTCACAACAAAGACCTCTAGTCCGAACGCTCGGAGTGGCTGTCCAAGAAAATCACCTGCCTTGGGTTAAGCACCCAAGCAGTATGTCAGGGCATACAAAGATATGACTATTGATGAAGAAAACGTTTCCATACCCCACATAAACACTATACACTATATATATCAATACGCAATTACAGATAAATGTCATACTTTGCTTCTTCTTTCTATTGATTTGTCACTTCAATTTCGCGGATACTTCTCGTTTTTTACCCACTTAGAATCTCGTCTAAGGTGAGTATGTTCTATCTTATTTAAACGTTCTCATTTTGTTCTATAGTCAAATTTATGAATGGTCCCACTAAATGTGACACGTGATACAGCTTCTCTGAAACCATATGTACCATCTAAATAACCTTTCATGAACATTTAGACTAATGAAGATCATAGAACAGATATGTTTGGCTGTCTTCGCTAGAGCGAAATACTACAGATTCGCTTTCCGTCTGTCGTTTCGAACAGTTTGTTTTATATGCGGTTATTTGGAGACTGTGGCATCTTCGTCAGTCTAGATGACATGATGTTGCAATAAGCACCAGATCAGAGGAAGTAGTAATCGATTCGATACCTATTTGCAGTCCATTTATGTTGTTAGATTAAAAGGCTCCATCAAAGTGAGAAACTGGCATGAGGAACGTCTTTTAATAACCTTCCCATATGCCCCAACAAATTGTAGCTTCAGTGATGAGTTTTGTCAATAATTTAACGATCTTTTCGAGAAAGTGAGTACGACAGATAATGTATTGCTAACTGGAGATTCGAATGCACAGGCCAGGGGTCTCAGAACAGAAGAGAGCCACTTGAGTAGTCCATAAAGTAACGAAAACGTGTGGGAAATTGCCCTTAAATTGATGACTTTGTCCTTCATAAGTTGTACTTGAGGATCCCATATCCCAACAAAATTCTGATATATATTATAGAGAAAGTAAACCTAATTTAGCGAGATCATTGAAAACTTACCGTAAAGTTGTATCTGTAGCGACAGTTGCAAGGCAAGTGAATGCTTGTTCAGATACTTTTATCCCTTCAGTTTGTGCACGTATACGTAGAATTTGGATTACTTCTTCACAAGAATAGGGAAGGGTACGTATGATCATAACACGATCTAGTAAATCTAATGGGATTCCATGAGGAGAAATAATGTCTTCAGTGCCTCTAAATTATAATTGCAAAAGAAAATATCACCAAATAAAAACAAAAACAGTGATAAGAAATAGACCGTTTAAACACAGATGAATACAAATGATTCAGAGAAGCGATACCTTGCAGAGTTGGTTTTCAAAACCATAATACCCTAGCAAACAAACAATGTTTATAAGCTTATGACTTGTTACATATATACGATTCAGCAGTCTTGGAAATAAATTCGTTGAAAAGAACTTTTCACTGAACTGATTGCTTTGTAACTTAATGAATATATAAGAGTTAATTAAAAAAACACTGATGCATTGTGTTAACTTAAATAACAAACACCAAATGAATGGAAATATGTAGTTGGAAGTATGAAGCCTATCTTATTAAGTCATATCAAGCATAAATATGAGACTACTAATAATAGTTGTAGTTTGTAAATCAATATCACTTAATCGGCATCAACAAATGATTAGAAACGAATATCAATTGATCTAAGCTATCAATATTAAAAAGAGAAAAAAAGTTAACAAGATGAGAACCTAATGAAAGGAATTATTTCTAATTACGTCAGTGAGACAGGTATTTCCCAATATTATTCAACACCTCCAACTACTGATTGGGAGTATTTCGAGGAATCCAATTGGGAAAGCTGTATTTATTTATAGCACTCATACTACTAGTAGTGAATTAGTTCATCGATTAATGCCATACCTTGATCTTCTTGCTCTTAATTTTCCCCCAAGGTTACTCAGCTAAGGATCTAAAACTGACGCTGTAAGCAATGATGTGCAAATTTTAGTAAATTCGAATGCATACCACGATCTTGTGATGACGAATATTAATTTTTAATACCAAAAAACCGAATTATATAAAGAGATTACACGATTGATAACCAGTTGATTACAATGGAATTATTTCACGATAAATGCTTCGGTTTTGGACTATGGATAATACTTAAGTGTATATGAATGCTATGAGACTAGACCAAATTAATACAAAGCCCAGATTACAAATGTATTTCAAGTGACGTATGTTAAATTTGATAAGACGAGCGATGACTTAAACCATAGCGGTGAGAATAATATATGAAACTGACTTGTCCAATCTCCTCTGACGTGTAATCACATCTTGAGGAGAAATAATGATATTATTCGGTCATTTGGTTATATCTATTGACTATAGATGGTTAATTTTATATGGTAAATGTGTCGCTGATTAACTGATGTTATTTACTACTAAGATTAAGTTATACAAATTTGACCGCAAATAAACTACATGAGAAGCGTTGTATTTATATAACATTTTGATTTATTTTTGGGGTCAAATAATTTTATGTCAGCAGCCTGTGTTTTCACTACGCATTATCAAACTTGGGGTTTCAGTACCAAGAGCAAATCAGTTGAGGATTCACATGCATAGGGGATGGGGTGAATTAACTAGAATCTGGATGATTTCAAGAGATAGATGAATGCCGTGTTAGTGATGTTAATAAATGCCTAGAACAAATAACCGAGAATGTCGTTAATACAATCGATATTCTATCACTGATCACTTTTCACATTTACTGTAAAATGACAAAGCAACTTAAATGAAAACACTGACCATATTATTTCATCAATTTTATAGAACGTATAGTTAACAAAATATTGACGTGAAACTTTTACCAACTCAAGTCGCTTGGTGCAGCATCGGATAACAAGTATGATCAAGATCGACGATTAAATATTAATAACACAGCAAGCGATGTTTGTTTTTAGGACTAAATATTTGTCAACTACCACGAAAGACTTCGCTGTTCAGGTTAGTTGCTCGAATAAACAGGTAACAAACAATGCTAATAGTGGTGAAACTAACACTATCCGCTATTAAACAGACAACAGAAAATAGGATAACACAAAAATATATTACGTCTAACAGTATCGATGATTTCACATGGCCCTAACAACTTTCTTCCTTCTCCATTAAACTATCAATTAATTAATGATGCCTATACAAAGTCGTTTTCACGCGGATGAGTAGTGAATGAAAGTTATACTCTCTACAACAACTATTCAACAAAAAACCCTGGGACGTTAGATAACATAACCTAGTGAAAACACATTCCAATTACATAATTGGCAGTGACACTTCATCGAGAATTTGTATTTCATAACCATGATTCTAAATCTGAATTAACAGCAGGAATCATTGTGCAACCGAAATTCAATACCAAAATATAACATTGAAAGCAAACTAGTATCAGTTGGGGAAGCTACAACAATACCTAATTCGATTTGAAATAGTTTAGATTATCCCGTTGCTAATATTTGACTAAAATTTGATCAGTCTTGATTGGTACATTTACACCTTATGAGGATTCCCTAGATATACTCAAACACAACGCAGACAAAATGGAATGTGGCTAGCAGTGGAATCCAGGACGCGCCCTTTGTCTTATTTCGGATTCGTCAGCCGGAAGTATGTGAAGCCCCGAATCAATGTCCACCCAATGACTCGAACCCAGAACCATTTACTTCAAACGCCACTGCGTTATCCACTTAGCTACTGAGTCTAAATAGCCACTCACTCGCGCAAGATAGATCTACCTGATGATTTCAAAATAGGACGAAACCCGCGCCCTGAATTACACTGCTAGCCACATTCCATTTATCCCATATTATTACTACCCCCCTCTGTTTGAACAACCGGGTGATATCATGAGCGCTCACATTTAGAATGTGGTTCGTATCCAAGAACCTGGAGAATAAGTTAATTTAAATCAAATTACTGTCAGTATCAAATTACTAAGATCCTCAGACATAAATGATCTCTTAGTTGATATAAATGTCACCACCATATATCTAAGGTATAGACAGTAAAAATTCACCATAGTAACCAAAAAATATTGTAAGATTCCACGCTCTAAAGACTGAAGAATTAGTATAGAAATAACAAAAATGGTTGTTCTTTGAAGCCGTATACCGAATTCATGAAATTAAAATCAGCTTGTATTTTACATAGTTTTCCAACACAACACTGAAAGATACAAAATTATTTACAATACAAATACCATTAATTTAAGAACAGAAAGTATATAAAATAGGCAGTTAACTAGTGACATCCCGAAATCAAAAACTGACCCTTTAAGATCAAAACTATAGTAAGATGCTAACTTTGAAAATTGACATTTGATGCGTGTGTATATTCCTGGTTAATTCTGAAAAAAAAACACCATGAATCGAGGAAAACGATAGTTAGCAGCGACTGATAGTAACACTTTTATCATAGTGATGACCATGAGCCAAGGAGTGTAATGTAAATAACAAAGTCTCCGGCTAGTATTTTCCGAATAGTATTAATCACTCAAGTTTTCAATTGTTTATGGATCTCAAAGTAGTCACTATAACGAACATAAACTTCACAATTCACAAAAGCTATAGTATGTTGTTCAATATGCGGTATCATAACACTTTAGTCATAAATCATTAATTGTACATAAGAATAATAAATGGTTATCACTGTGTTAATTATCCTTGCATCAGTTTGACTCTTCAAAGTGTACATCATGAAACAGGTAAAACGATTAGATAAAATCTGGAAGTTAGTTAAAATTATATAATTTTCACCTTTTTAAGAGTAAAAAACAGGATAGAGAATATTTTCACTGAATGTATCGAGTTTATACAAATAAAACATACCTGATGGTACATTTCCCCCGATTGGTAGCAAAAATAACGATGGGTGCGATTGTTGATTCGAGTGCCCGATGAAGATAAGTGAAACATTCGATGTCTAGCATGTGTACTTCATCAATAAACAACACACCAGGAACAAGTTCAGCGATGCCTTGATCTATGTATTTATTAACAACCTTGTTGATTTCCTTCCTTAGTTTATCTGTTTAAAAAAATGTAATACGCTACTGGAATTTAGATAATCCCATCAACAAATAAACATTACAGAACTAAAAAGAATATTTACTAGACATAACAAGATGGTCAAGCAACTTGGAATTTAATAATTACTAAATTGTTTGAACTTATTTGAAAAGCCTTGATAGTAAATACTGCTTCAATTTAGGAGAGTAAAAGATGACAGTCCCAAACTAAATTAAATTGGTCCATATTTCCATACTTTACAACATACAAAACAGGAAGTTGATAAGATAGATGAAAAACAGCTAAAAAGCAGTTAGGAATTCAACACTTACATCATGAAAGATAACTTGTCCAAGAACTACACATAATTCTCTTATTACTCATTTAGATCAAGACATGTTAGTAAAGTTGTAATCACCATATATATTGGCAGTGTGGCGCATATATATTGACGCTCTCTTGTACCAATATTTATGTGTTCAAATAAATAAATAAATAATAAATGTAATCACCAACGCGGACGGAGATAACTAGTAGCTTCATAGGCTTACTGTGATCTAAATGATCACACATTTTTTACTACAATTGACATAATATTCTAGAGTAGACAGTAACTTGTGATGGATTCAACTTGACACTGGTTGTCATGTATTGGCAGGCTCCCTACCATAGGTCTGTCTTTTTTACAAAGTGAAAATCAACTGTGCGGAATAGTTTATTTAATGTGGGCTACATCTCCATACGAAATATGTTGTCCTATGAATGCTTATTCAGCATTAACCAATTACGCTGTGTTCCAGTGAAATAGTACAACTCCAGAAACCAAGTTAATTTCTACCTAAAGTAACCAGAGTTCTGTAGATGTGAGAACCACTTCCACAGCTCACTGTATAATGTAGAATGATGCTAAATATTGGTTATCGAAAACCGTGAACGAATAAGACAAATGAAAATATGTTTCGATGTTAAATTACATGATATTATAATCAACCGACAGCAGGGTAGTACCACTAGTCTTCACACGCTAGTGTAAGTCCAAGATTAGTATGAGTATCTGCACTTAGAGTTGAATTATTAGTACCTTAATTTGAAAACAAAACTTCTTGCAAAGTAAGGATTACATTAAGTCACGAAACGTCAGAAATGCAGTTTTCTACGCTTTTTGATGTAACAGAATATTTATTATTAAGGATTAGTAACTTGGGTAGATACTCAGTACGTAGGATTTATCTGCGAAATCATTGATAATACTTTTTTTAAAGCCAAAAAAAGTGTGGAAACCTCAGGTAACTATCTTAAACACCAACTTACTATAAGAATTTACGATAACGAGAGTCTGGAGAAAGTATTCAAATGTGTGAAGATCTGTTTGCATCTCCTTTCAGTTAATAAACAGAATTTTTTAGGGAGTAATTTGAGTATGGCTATTTCAGGACCTGATGAGATTAAGCTCATTGACATAACTTCGACCAAGCTTGAGTTACTCTAGGCTAAGCCAGTTTATTACTTGTGATTGCTAATTTGAGCAACCGAAACCCAGGTTTTTCAAAGTATTAACTATACTGTTTAATGTTCGTTACCGAACCGGTATTTACTAGACCTCTGTATCCATATGCAAGCATTGGTGGTCCTCAGGAAGAACGTATCCTAAGCGGTTAAATAATCTCGTTAAACTGACACTTGATATGCATGCAGTCTTACGATTTTTGACTCAACCCTCAATAAGTTATCGATATTTTACAAGTCATAAAACCATGAAACTGAATGTTCGTTGTGATGAAAACAATATTAAACTTTGACTCGCTAATATAAGGAAAACAAACTAGCATAAAAAGCCAAGAGGCATTAAGTTATAAAACTACACCTGTAATTTCCGTCTTTTTCGGTTTCATTAGCTGACCCATCATTGAGACAATATCTTGGCCCCCTTGAGGTCGGGCGTTTGCTACATCCAGATCGTGAAGTGTGACATCCTGAACAACATCTTTCTTTTTATGAACTTCCCCTTTTGGAAGAGGGACATACTCGTCAGCTTCTAAATCATATTCAGCTGTATAAACATCACATCTTCCCTGACGCTTGACTGCACCGGAGTTGGCTTCGATATAAATTACATCCCCGACCTCAACATGTTCTTTCTGAAGACTCTCATAAATACATGGGTCTAACTTCAATTGTTTGACACCTTTAGCAGTACGCAAACTGATAATAACGTGACTGATTGTTTTGCCGAAACCTGTTATTTTATTAAACAAATAGATTCAGTTACCTCCAGTTGGACTTTCTGTTTCTACCGGAGTTAACTCGGTTACTTCTCCTTCATAGACTTCTTTGATCTCTTTTATGCGCAAACCTGTAGTCTTTTATCATGAAGGCATTGGTGAAAATACCTATCGCTCGCCTGAAGTTCTCCATCAAAACTTCCGTCTTCTTTATTTCGGAAGAGTAAACCTCACTTCCAACCATCGGGCAAAATGGAACTTTCCCACCAAGGTCCTGAGCAATGGCTAAAGCTATTGCAGTCTGCGAAGCGCAAAATTTAGAAAATCATAATATAAAAAGTGTTTGGAACTTGTATTAGAATTTTGCTCTGATACAAGCATATTCAATCATACTAACCTTCCCAGTCCCTGGAGGCCCTGCCATTAAAACTGCACGTCCAGCCATTTTCTTTGATCTAATCATTTCTACTACAATACCAGCGGCCTGGTGTAAAAGTACATCGAAGAAATACACAATACTTCACGCGCGCATTCTTGACCAACAAGTCCACATGCATTTGACAGAGCAGTGCCAGTTTCATCTAACCCAAGGCCCTTGATGTGTGTATGGGCTGCTATTCTCTGAGTTTTCGATGTGCTGCGAACCTCTTCTATTTTCATTATTGTGGACAGTATTGACAAGATAGCCCTGACAACCGAGACGTATGGCGCTTGGAGCAACGGCTGATAATACTGAATGACTTAAACACCAACTTCTAAGTTAAATGGCCATGTCTTAAGCGTGCTGTATTAATGACAGTAAGTAGTCTAATCTGTGCTGTTAAGTGCGGAGGCTAACTCTGTGAAAGTCAGTTTTCTTCTCCAAATAATTCATTGGTGAGTTATATTCTTGCAGTAATAAATAAATCTCCAAAATCAATAGCTCTGTAAGTCTTCGACATTTGATGCTAACCACATTGGTTTTACTGTACACACCTAGCCGAAGGCGCTTGGTCACGCATCCGCAATAAATCACCAGTGGATACGCCGTGCCATTCATTCCTTTCAACTACTAGCCAGCTTAGACCAAACGATTCTTGATATATCAATAACTTTCCAAATATATCGTTGAACTCCTTCTTTTCTAACTTCTACCCTGACTCTGTTGGCATACTTCGATTACGAAGGTGTTACCGATTAAAGCGTCTTCAAACTCCGAATACCTGTGGCATCCTTAGTGTTGAGACCGACGTGAACTGGTACACCAATTCGTAGAGTGTGAGGCTGTTTTTGTTGGAACATTATATATCATTTTTTAATTTTTATTTTTATATCGTTTGATTTCATTTTCAGATTTTCAGACACTTTCTCTCGTTCGTTTTTGTACTTTATGCTCATCATGGCGGAACAATCTCCTAATTTATTTGGGATCAGGACTTCTTCGTTTCCCTCATTTCAGCTAATTCCATTTGAGCCCGATAAGGCCGAAGCCTGTTTCCGTTGTGCAGAAGCTAACTTTGAGCACGGCGTTTCAGACACACGTGCACAGTTTGTCGCAGTAATGCGGGAACTGTCGCGCGATTTCCTCAGGCAGGTCACACCTGGTATGCTTACTAGTGATGTTTGGGGACATTACGAAACTCTAAAAAGGGCTTTTCTTAACTGACCAAAAAGGTTAGGTCAACTCTTTCACAACATCAATCGACAACATGGCTCGACGACGGGCATGTTGCTACAAATGAGGGAGATCATTGTTCAACGGACCTTTGACAAGGGCCTGTTTCAACAACATTTTTAGTTCAAGCTTCCTCAATAGATGCAGGCAGTGCTTGTCTCATTTCAAAACAACGCTGTAGACGAACTGGATGCACCTGCCGACCGAATTCCAACGTCGATGTTTATTAAGTCAAAGGAAAATCTCGAACGACAAGAAATGATGTCACAGAACTGTGCCATACTGTGACACGTTACCTTAGTATTCTTCATGGTCATAGAAGCTGACAAACCCCGTAATTTTTCACGAAGACGATGTATCTCTAGATCATGAGAAACAAATGACCTTTTTTAGTGTTGTTATCGAAATGAGCATAGATAATCTTCTCGAAACTTCGGAAACCCCAGCAGTTTTCCGATTTCCCGAAAGACGTTCCGACAAACTTCCCATTAACTTCACATTAACAGCAACCGTGACCGGTGAACATAGCCGTTTGTTATGCATCGTTGGTGTGATAAAGAAAGTTCGCTACTTCGTCAAAATTGGTGCAGAAGTCAGCATTTTTCCCGTAATCCTAACGACAAACTCCACAAAGCAGTTTACAACCTACCGTCCGAAAATGGGAAGCCGATCGCCACATATGGTAAGACATATGCTTATCTTAACGTGAGTTTTCGTGAGCCGTTCACTGGATTTTCGTTGCTACAGAAGTTTTTATAGTATGGACCTGCCACAACACCAAAATCTACTCACGGACCCGAGCAAGCGGAAGTTAGTAGATGGCTATACTGGATTGTCTATTTGTGAAACTTCATTTTCTAGCTGTAGGTTATCCTCAGTCACTTTTATGCACATAATCGATCCATACTATTAACAAATACTAGATAATTACCCTGTTACACACCAAACGCAACCGAAATCGCCACGTTTAACCAGCACTGTTACACATCACACCACGACTACATGACCACCTGTATTTTCGACAGCGTTCAGAATAGCTCCCGAAAAGCTAAGGTTGGTCGACAACGAATTCGACCACATGATAGACTTAGGAATCATTCGGCCACCAAACAGCCCATAGGCATCTTCCTTACACATGGTCTCTAAAAACGACAGTAGTGATTAGCGTCTAACTGGTGACTATCAGTGTCTGAATACGAAAACCACTACCGATCGTCATCCGTCGCCTCACATTCACGATTTGAAAGCTACCCTAAAATGTACAACTGTCTTTTTAGAAATCGATTTGATTAAAGCGTATAACCAAATTACCATGATTGCTGAGATTTCGTTTACTTGTCATCTTGTACTTTTGACCAGTCACATTTGAGTAAATTGAATTAATCTATCCAGTAGAGTAGAAAGGTGTCATTTACCTGACAGGGACCTCGTTGTATTCTGGTAAGTAACTAGGTACGTAGTCTAAAATAGTTTTCATGACTTGTTTGTATCCGATTTCAGGGATGTAAGTTGACCGTACAGCTTATTTCCAGAAACTATTCAGGTATATTTTAATCTGTACCTTTATACTTATTTCATATAAAATCAACGCCAAAATTTCTTGCCGAATCTGGGATCGTGAAGAAGATTTATAGCTCAGGTGGATGATTTTGATGAAGTTTTGTTCTCTGAGCTTAGAAAACAAAATTCCATCAATATTTTACCGAATAATTATGTTCTGGGTTATATTCGTCGGTGCGTGTCACTGACTGAAAAATTAGGTCGTGCAGCTTACATCAGCCAAACTATTTCTGGACACTATTATACTGAACAGCTTCGTTTTGGCTATCGTATTGTTCCTTTGGATTTGATTTGTTGCAAAAAAGCCAAAATCCTTCATCTACACTGGCAGCGCCGATATTCTGTCTATCCAACAGTACTGTGGTTTTATCTACTGGAATTTTTCAGGTTGTCTGTATTTTATTTAAAATTACCGAGCATTTTCTTTTGAGTCTGAAATTACCAAACGGACGTGTTTCAGAAATACTGACTACCTTCCGTCTGTCTCAAATTACTAAGCAATTTTTTGTGGTTGCCGAATATTTTCGTTTGTGAAAATACACAGCTTTACGGTACTAGACATAACCCACTGAAATAGAGTATAATGACAATCACACGTCAGTAGAATTCATTCTCAGAACCGATGAATGAAACAAGATTTTAACTCCTAGATAACTCTCTCCTGTCACAAAAAACACATTTTATACTTCACACCATGACCTAAAACCTAGTGACAAATTAGATATGGTGAAGCTGACTCTAGTTCAGCTGCTCTAGGGATAAAATTACTTCTCTTACTAATGTAATGTGCATCAGACTATAAAGTTGGGAGATATAGTGGGATAAAAACGCGTTGAATATCCAAGAGAATCATTAGAGCATATAAATTAGAATGTGTGACTACGAGACCGCTGGTCGGCTCAACGAGGAAAGTATACAGTGACACCGTAATAACACCGAATAATCACGGCAAATCATTTTTGAATCTAGAAACATAGTACTTTGGAAGATTGACATGATGTTGGAAAAATGGGTGAGGTTAATACAGGTCAGTCTTAGGAAACCATTATGGAAACTCCATGGCTCAGTCATGCAGGAGCGGTCATCCTGAAAATTTATACTCTTTATATTAGATATATTATTCTATTAGCAGTGTCAATATATTCTCCAAAGGTTTCCTATACACGGACCGGGACAGTACTTAAATTTCCATAGTTTCTGTCCGTTGGAATACAAGAGAGGTCTAGTTAAGTGCCTCTTTAACAGGACTCGAAGAATATGTACCTCTGATATGGTGGAAAAAGATGAAAAGTTACTGACTGACACTTTAATAGCAAATGGCTATCCACTCAAGTTTATTATTAGGTGCAAAAGTCAGTTAATGCCAAGACCTCTAATTTATTCAGTGCCAAAGAAAAAGGTTTATATCAGTCTACCATATAGAGGCGAATCTAACAGTATAGTTTTAAGGCAGAGATTGAAAGCAGCCATCGAGAATACGTATTATGCTGCTCAGTTGGTAGTGATTGAAAAGTCTAAGACCATGATTCCTAATAGACCCAAACAATGCACTAATGATTACGTCACATCCCATTGTATTTACCAATCTACATGTTTGTGTGGACACATACATAGGGAGGAGTAATCGAACAATGCAATCAAGAGTCAATGAACATGTGCCCAGATGGCTTCAAAATCAGTGTTTGTCAAATGATCCGATCAATGTAGGAGGTAGAAAACCAAGTTCATCGATAGCGAAACATATAATTGAGACGGGGCACAAAATTGACACTAATACAGCATTTAGAACGTTGTATAGAAATTGTCAAGGTCGAATTCTTAAGTTTATTGAAGCCTTAGCTATTCGTAAATTTAGACCCCCCTTATGTGTACAAAAACAATTTGTCGTAACCTTGAATTTACCTTGGTAATCCTTAAGTCATTCTATGGCCTAGGATAACGCGACAATTTCTTATTCTTTCTCCCCCCTTAGTTATTTTAATTGTACTTTTATTTGTTTGTTTGACCTTTATTGACCTTTATTAATTTTCATATAAAAATGCTTTGACAAATATATGTGTGACCAGATTGTTCCAAATGGATAGCGCAAATACATCACATTTTTCAGATCAACTCCGTCTTCTCATTGTTCTATCGAAATTTATAAAAGGGACTATTTGGTTTAAATTTCTTTTATTGTTTAGCGCACTACTTTGCGTTAGAGAAGCCTTTGGCTGTATAGCACAGGCTGTACCGTTTGAAGTATTTTGTATTTTTGATATAATTTGTTCTATTTCCTAAATTAGAATCGTTTAAGTTGACCACAGAGTTTGTGTTTCGATATAATTTAGTACGAGTATCTCAAAAACGCTTGATACGCTATACAGAAGAACGTAGTCTGGCCTATTCGGATAGACTTTGGTTCGTCACTCCTGCTTTCAAACCGAATACTGGCAGTTCGGTCGTTGCGGCGTTTATCTACCAGACTTTATGTAAACATACGCCTGAACTCAAATAGACGTGGGTTTTAATTTAAGGCTCATTTAGGTCTGAAGATATGTTCTGAATTTCTTCACATGCTTTAAAGGAACATTTGGCACCGAAAAACTGCCCTTGAAATGAAGATAATACAAGCGTAATGCATTTAGCATAAACTAATGCTAGATGATGTGTCGATGTCCTGCCTCAATTATCTTAATAACGACGATCAAAGTTTCATCCTATTAACCTAGGATAAAGTGGGACCGACTTTCAATTGCAGTGGAGTTTAATGACACTTGGAATCGGGAAGTACTCTGTTATGGTAAGTTGCCCACTTTCGAAATAGATCAACTCATTTTACAGGTAAGTATAGACATTTTGTCTATATCTGGAAGTTCAAATGAATAATTGTGGTATTTATTAAGACTTTGTTCCTTTTAGGATTAGTGAGATATTTGTGATCGGTGTTTATGGTTGTCCAAGTTAGCCTTTGGATTTCAGTCATGCTCTTTCAAATACGATCTACAAACAAAGATAGTAAGATAACTTGAAGCCCCAAATCACCAGTTAAGTAAATTTGTAGCTATCAAATCAGCAGTTAAATTCGAACGTCAAAATGTTTCAAACAAACATTATTGCATCTTATCCCTTAAACACGATTACGATAAACTCATACCATAAGGCCAAGTACGCGGAGTGGGGTTTCTTCCTTACACCAATCTCATATCAAATTACCCTTAAATTGCAAATGCAAAACGTGTGATCAATAATATCTGCTATAATTCCGACTTACCTCAAATCGTAGGGAGTCGTCTGTACGTGTAATGTTCCATGTTATCCTTAGTCACAAAAATGTCCAGTCTGCTCCTGCATCAGTACGACTCAGCAGTCGGTTTTCTGTTGCAACTTTAGTGTTATTGATTATCCCTCATGTTATCTATAGAAGAAGCCAAACCGGTGGTTTCGGTAGGCGTTTATCCGAATCGCGAAGCAGAACGGTTGGAGCGCAAAGTTATCATTCCGAAGGCACAGAATTTGCAATGTTCAGTATACGATAATGGCGAATACAGTCTCTACACAATTAAATATTTACTTGGGCCATAATGTTTTGACATTATCAAGATGTTTTTGAACAACTCTTAGCCATCCAAATTAATTTTTACAAATCCGCTTTTTACGTGCATAACTGCTCATATATCAGCCGATTGCCGGGTACGACATAAACTTTCTTCTTTGTCATTGCGTTGATAACAAGAAATATTTTGTGCAAATAGAAACGAAGGGTTCGGTAAATTAGCTAGAGTAGTTACTGTGAGATATATTTACAGGTTATCCCCCTCTCTAATTTCTTCAGTAACTTTGGGCTTGTCATTCCATAATACTAAGTCATTCGGGTTAGTAAAAGAATTTTGTTTTCGGAACGTGACTTTTTTAAATTGTAAAATTGATATATATCGCTACAAGATGAGGATTATCTCTGACCATTATTGTCGTGGATTATTGCAAATAGCTATCGTCCAACACGTTTTAATTTACACCAACTAACTTCATTGACTTGTCCGTTTGAAATCAACTTATAGTCACTAGTTTGAAAACTTACAATTCTCCCTGGCTAAGACATCCTAACCATGAATCAGTTGTCGTATACTTTTCATTGTGTGGATAACCATGAATTCCGAAACATTTTCCGACTGCAAACGTTTCCCGTTTGCCTCTGATTCTGAAATACTACTTGACCAGGATGATAAACATTCCTAACAAACATAATCTATTCTTTTGAAACAGATTTGGTGGGTCAGGTTTGATAAGAGGAATAAATAATGGTGTCATCCAGTAGAGCAGCTGCCAAAATACAGTGTGAATTACGACAAAGGTAAATGGTTATCAAAACCCTTAGCGACATTAAACAATCGGTCGCCAACCTGAACCTGAAGGCAACATAATTATGATTGTGAACGATCAAAAAGATAATTACAGTATACGTAAATACATAGTGCAGTAGATGTGCTACATTTAGAAGAACACAAAAAACACACCCACAGATGTATGAATGAAGAGATTTTCACGCACACGTAGGTACACACAGATGCATACAAGATCAAATACCAACCAGATCAGTATCTCTCCATACATCATTAGTCATAGAAGTATTTAAGGCCTACAGTAATAAGCCCATACACTCGTCTTACACTACGGTGCCGCAAACTGTATGCTCCTCTCGGTGATTGCTACCCACATTTACGCATGCTTTGGTCAACCTGTCGGTTGACAGGTTACCCGCGTTTACATTTACTACAAATAATAGTCGTTTTTCTATGGTCAACTACTGTCGAACAACAAACCTTAATTAGTGTACTTAGTTAACAGGAAAGTTAGACAAATATGTAATCTTACAAGTACTATTACTGCCGAATTGGCGTGTCCTCATTTCAAACGTCCATGGCTTAGTTATCAACTACATGTGCCCATGTTTGCATCTCATGTACTACACGATCCATTCAGCTAAAGTGAAACTTACAGCAAGCAGTTGTACTAAATACTTTTGAGCAGGAAATCAGAATGAGACCTCAAGTATTAAAGTAACCGAGTGTTTGGAAGATGAAGGCGAATCGAGCACTATGTAATTATCTGAATAGACTATATCGTTGTGAATTTTATTCAAGGTCCCCTACGTAATCTTCTGTTGCTCTGCAAGAAGGTATCAGGATATTTACTTCCTGTCACGTAAAACAAAAGATTCCAAGGAGCACTGGTGAAAGTGTTAGGTATTATTCATCATTTAATTCAACTATAGGTGAATATCAGAGGGTGATTAACCTAGTTCACCTTTAATCGCACATCACTTATAGCATGTGATCGATTGAGATCCTTCAAAGAATTCAAAGACCTGGTATTTGGTTGTCTGATATTAAGTAAAATTTTATTTTCATATGAATAACTTGAGGTAAAACCACTGTTTCTGGATAAGGATAGAACCAGCTAGAATTGTTGAACTCCCCCCATGAAAAGTCTAGCATACCATCAGTTGCAGTGAAATCTTTTCTCACGTAAAGGTCAATAATTAGGAAACTTTTCGAACCACATCTTCAGATGGAGTGCTTGAATTTCAAGGTGATGTCAACTTACTCCACCACAAGTTCTTTTTGAAATACTGCACTTCATCGCACTCAATAATATAATAAACGCTCGTTTTTCTTAGCCATAGTGCCATCAGAATAATCAGCGTACCACCAAGCAATTGAAAAAAACTATAAACGTTGTTCAGATACATATTTCTTTGGAGACCTTCAAGCATGTGGCGACAGATGGCAAGATTGACTTCTAACAAATATAATCCTTTACCAACCGCAATTATATCATGCGAACACCATGGTAATTGACTCTACCTTGTTGGTCATCATGCCTTCCTCCCACTACCTGTTCAAAACCATCATACGCTAGTCAATCAATCATACTACGCTTTCGAACGCATCTACGAGACTTTTCCGTGGTTTTTCACTGGCATTTACTCCAAAGCGGATTTTATTTTTTTGCCAGATTCTTTCACTTTTCCGTCAATTTTTAACAATCGTACCAGTTTTGGGCTGGAGTTGTTCTGATACTCCACGAACTACTCCATAAATTTCTTCTTTTGAGTTTTATAGATTGAGTTATCAGTGTCCGCCTTTTCGAGACACTTGGAGCAATAATCTTCATTCATCGAAAGAACGCCTTATCAGTTGCCTTTGGGATAGTTTTGCTAAGATCGTGTTCCAAATATGGTCTGTCCGACGGTGTTTACGTATTTCTATCTGACTCTAACAAGTAATTAGTCAGAACAACACCGCCCACATCCACAGTATTATCAAGAATGACAAGCAGTTTTGCAAAGTTTGGGTATCTATTATCATCCCATTGAGCAAGTCACATGACTGATAGTAGTTTAACTTTGAAACATTTGAGGGCACCACTAAAATTCTTTTTGTTCTGCAGTCTGATACATGATAATCAGAGAATCATCACGAACCGGGATCGGTTTTTAAGATTTTCAGGTGAAACTAGTCAAAGTATTATATTTGTAATTCGTAATAAGCGTACGATCAAGTGCAAAAGAATTACCATTTAGTACAAACACCACACTATTTTACTGAGAGAATCTAACGCCGTCAATGTTATGTAAGTAATGATTTGAAATATATCCTCAGTGAGAATGGTGCCTGTTTCATCAACACTAATGATGCCAAAAATCTTTCTCATCTCCTCACCTTGCACACTTAATTAAGTATGCGTCTTGGAACTAATTTCTGTCAATAATACTGACATTTATTCCCGCCATCCTGCTAGTCACATAGATGTTGGTTTGGATGATTTGTGTCCTTGAGAGTGCGCTACGTTCGAATTTTGCCGGCAAAATGGAAAGCAGTGTCTGACGATAAGAATCAGGATGTTTGACATAGATGCCAAACTACTAGAACAGTTTAGTGCACTTGGTACAACAGACAAGGATGAGTTAATAAATCAACTAAAAGCAGTTGTTGGGAATGAGCTATCTAACGAGTCGTGTCGGTTTTTCTTAGAATTGGCCGACTGGTAAAGTAAAAAATCTGATAATACTAGTGCTTAAGGAACCTACAACGTGCAATCGGTGCTTACTTTGATTTCAGTTTTGAGGGTTCCGCACCAGTTAGTTGTGCATCGAATTACCCACTCACTTCCGTGAGTGTTTGCGAATCATCTACGAATGTGGACTGCATGCGTATAGATTCTGAAGTTGTGGTAAACCAAAGACAATTTGATGCACGGGTATGGCCATCACCTTATGATGTTCCGGAACTTGGTGGGTTTATCAAAGTAACTGTCGAGAACTGCGGTTCTTGTTCCTGGCCTGAAGGAACGTTCCTACGGTCTGAAGTTAGTGCCCGTTCATAATTATTTTAACCACATTTGTAAGCAGATAGACCATGATGTTGCTCGACTAAACAGCTTATCTGCAGATAACAGTGAAGTTCTATGGCTTCCAATCGGTGTAGATGGCAGAATTCCTATTCTTCCAATTCCTCCGCGTCAAATTATAGACCTAACATTAAATATCACTCCTCCAAACCTCCAGCTAACTTACCAATGCCCTGTCGTCGGGGCGTTGTCCTTCTGTCTACCCAATGGCGATAGGTTTGGGGGTTAGTTATTTTACATGAAAGTTTTGTCACCTAAATAATAGTTCGTTTCGTAAATACTTTGTGCAGGTTCATCTGCTATTTTACCCTTAATAAATTCTCATCTTTATTTTAATGAGTCATGCAGTAACATTCATAGTGTCAATTAATGGGTAATATGTACAGTTTTTGGCATATCAAGTATGAGGAACCAGAGGGTTCTTTTGTGAGATTTATTAAGCTCAGTACCATTTGTAAATTCGTAGCCTCAGCGGTCATAGTGCACTTTGGCTATTGAGGGTATGAACGTGACTGGCTAAAGTTACTTGTTACATTAAATTATATGGCACACAACAGATATGTGGTAGGGGAGAGTTAGTATTTATGTACAAAATGCTGCTAATTACTAGTGTTGCAGATATCGAAAGCATTCACCTGAGCTGCAAATCTTTATCATATATTCTAAAGTGTGAAATATTATGCAGTAGGAAATTGTCCCTTTCAAATGATATTTGAAACGGGGGGGAACTCACTCAAATTTTAGTCATTGCGTAACTTGTCACGTGAAGATTTACACTTACCGTTTGCATAGCCTTCTTTGGTCTAGCATGAGTAGTTTGGAACAAGGCATGAAATAACCAAAAGATAACGGTGATTGAAATCCTCTTTACTAGTCTAAATTGTGTGAAAAATGGTAAACATTCTGGTCTCGGTCTTCTCAGTCAGTCAGTAACAACGTAGAACTTCGTACGTATGTACATCAGTTCGGGTTGCCATACAACAGCACAGAGATGCAGTGGTCGATTCAAACCCCATAGTGCTAGATGTAGTAAAATTATAAGCTGTAATCAGAAACGTTAGGGTTTGAAGATGTTATTCAAGGAGTATAATCCAGTGAAGTAAATTTGGGAAGAGAAAAAAAAGGGACATGAAGAAGATTAAAATTTGGGAGAACACAAAGAGTGGATGCACCTGCGCCATTGCAAACGATTTTGAGCTCGGTCTTCTAAAACTAACTGATGTGACTCGAAATCCAAGGTATTTGTATTTGTTCGCTAGCTTCATTCCATACTTTTCTGCTCGAACCATGCAACATTTCGAGCCATATCTACGTTCATCTTCCTACCATGGTTAACATTCTCCCCATTCTTTGGTATTTTCGTACTTCACTATCGTGGTATCCCGGATGATTATCCATTTGTTTTATTTTGTGTTGTCTATCATTCTGTACACAGTGATAAACTCAGTAGAGATTTGTACACTCGCTTTTGACGAACACTCTGAGACCCGGTGATACTGCCAGGATCTTAAGATCTAAATGAGTCAGATCTGGAATCGGACTGTTTGAAGTCAAGTAATTTATTTTCTAAGCTATCCTCTTAAGCCCTAAGCTTCAGTTTTACATAGTGTCTGGTGTTCTTCGAGTTCATCCTTTCCTCAAGCAGTGTCCAATCTAGTGTTCCCCACTGTTACTGATACTAGTATTATGATGACCATGGTCATCCTCATTTTTTTGTATTGACATGCTATGAGAACTTGAGTTAACATGTAGGTTTGAAGCTAGTCATGAGTGACCAAGTTTCCGTCGTTTTAGTTCTAAAAGAACCTATGACAAATTTATCTTCGGCTCTAAAATGAAAGCTAAGGTTTTAGAATGACACAAATTGAAGTAGGTTTATTTGACTCCAGATTGTAATTATCCTACTTATTTTACTCCACATATATTAAGACTTGTTTTGATCGTCTCACTCCTGTTGATTTCACTATTTACTGTCTTGAAACATCGATTTATGCGGATGTTTTTTAAGAGGTCTTGTGTTAGTTCTATTTATTTTATTTAAGGACGTAATATATGTGCCTGATGTACACACGGTCAAGACCGTAGTTCAGTAATTCATTCGTCTAACACAGTCCACACAACCTGTTAAATGATACAATATAAGAGGCGCTCTCAAAAACGTTTAACACGTCTATTCATACTTTGGGAAATGTTCCGAGCTATTTAATTACACAGTAACTAAGCTGCTCACGGTTTTAATTTTCTTGTAGAAATTGTTTACTGCACTGCCGTGCCTGATTTGGAACATATGACTTGGAGGTATCAAAGAGGCATATTAGCAAGCACCATGAGCGCTGGACGGAGTAGCGTAAGTATAATGGTGTTTTAGAAACAATAATTGATCAGCACTAGCTGATACCTAAATAAACCTTTTGCTTTTTAACTACCAATTCCGTTATATTTACAGTCGTATATTTTACTTTCCAGCCTATGGTTTTAGAAGACGTTTAAAGACGAAATATCTGCGGGATCCAACTGTGATAGTATCTCCGTGTTTAACCTGCAAACTTGTCCATAATACTTATTTTCTTGACTCTAATCTCCAGGTATTCGTGCCAATATTTATTTTCGTTACCAAAATGATTCTCTTTATTCTTCAGACGTAGTAAATGTATTTAACTTAGCCCACGCTAGTCGGTATACATAATTAATAACTGATGTGCGAACCTCATATAAAAATTGTCAAAAATGGTTTATTGCTTTTGTAAAAAGAGTTGTTAATACGTTTATTTTTCTAAGCGTAGTAGACTATTACAGAAAAAAAATCAAGATTACATATTAATGATCATTCAAAAAATCGGGGTGAACTGCTTCACGATGCATTCGCAAAGCAGCAGAAAGACTTGATTGAAATAATAAAAAAGACAGCAGCCAGGATTTAGCAATTACAGGTTAATCTAGGTTAAAAACTGGATTAGGCTTGTAGGTAAAGTGTGAGTCAAAGCATACAAAATATGGATGTGTGATGGATTCGAGCTTGCAAAAATTGAGTAATAATAAAAATGATATTCCTGTTAGAAATTTTTGTGAAACTGAACAGGCGGACAGAAATATTTATGATAATAATTGTCCGGCTTACTCGATGGTTTTTAGCTCCGTCATGATTGATGCTAGATGTTAAGTTTTTCCGTTCTTATTCCTTTTTTCCAAGACTCTCTCGTGCTGCACGAATAAGCGGTCCAAGCGAAGACAAGCTCCCTGCATGCTTAAAAAAATCGTGGTTAAGCAGTTCCTTTGCAGAAGCTCGTCTTACAGGATCTACGACTAGACATCTGTCCAGAAAATCTTGAAGCATCGGGTGCAAATTCTTGGTTTTTGGTCTAGGTTTTCCCATTGTTTGAATGAGGTATATTGCCTGAGTAATGCAAAAATTTTCGTTACTTTAAAATTGAAATAGACTTTACAATAATCACTAGTAGCAAACTTTTCAGTTTCTAATTTAGTCAGCGACTAGTCTGCGATAAGTAACAACATAAACCTTTCTATTTACATAGAACTATCTGCTTTAGTAGGAAATTATAGTTTGAATGTGAATTAAGAATTAGTGCTTCCAAAACATTCGCATGTAGAACTTGTAAATTAGTAGTGTCTGATAGTTAACAAATTAAAATGTGGTTCACAAAAGAATGAGACAGTATACTAGAGTCGGCATGTTAAATAGCTTGAGGAAACAAAATGATATTAGTAGCGAAATCTGTTTAAGGACAATTGAAATGTAAGCAGTGAAAATTTCTTTTACTTCATACTTGTTGTTTTTACACAAACAATGTAGGCGTTAACATGTTTGTACTAACACTGTGGCTAGATTTCTGCAATAACCTTAGACATCCAAACTGTATTTAGGAAGATACTATAACTGTAGCCCTTTCAAATTCCTTTAGACGAAGCCGATAACAGCTAAGATCAGCGACAGGTGACTAAGTTCAATAGTATTTTGGCTTGCGTTTGAAGGTAGAGTATACCGATTAATTCTTCGATTTTAGGTTTTGTGATTAACACTAAGAAACATCAACATCTTATGTTGGATGAAGACTCATTAACCCAAGTTGTCATAATTCATGATATGATTCACATAAATAAACAAAAATAAGATATCCATATAAAATTTTGACCAGTAGTGAAACGTATAATATAAAATATACGAAGACTGAATACATTAGTATTTCATCCGGTTGAATAACCTCGAGCATGCTGTACTACTTTCGCTTTTCTTACTTACTACCATTTGCTTATCTGTAGAGGCTGTTTCTACTCTTCATTATGCTCGTAATCAACCAGCATAAATATTTGTGCTCTAGTCATTTCATATGGCATTGGGGGGGGCATATCGATTTTTGAATACCAACTAAGTTAGGCTATTTTAGTTGTTCCTCACAGCAGTTGAGTCATCTCTAGTTTAATATTTAGCTTATTTCTTGTTGACTTTATCGTCGAGCCGAAGGTTAATAGACTTTTCTGCAGTTTGCTTTCTTCACAGACTTATGATGATCATTATCAAAACATGAACAGGTAATCTGTGATTAGTGAGAACCTCCTAAAGATCTCACCTAACAGTAATTAGTATGATGATTTGTGCGTCCATTTTTATGTTGATGTTAACGTTAACGGGCTTATGTGGTCATTCAGTAAGTTTGAAACTGTTGATAAGAAATAAGTAGTTGAAAGCCATTACATTGTCCGCTTGTCTACACGGAAATCTGAAGACAACCTAATACACCCCTATCTAGCGTATTGATCTCTTGGAGACTGTAGTGGACGGTGTATTGGGCATTATACTTAATGGAGCCGAGTTAGTAGCGATCGTAGAGTAAAACAATTCAGGAACAGATACTTAGTTGAATGGATTAACACAACTCCTTTGCTAAATACAAGTTAGCGTATACGGTTTTAAGTTACACATTTGGTGCAAAGGCCAGTGATAATACTTATTTACTCAAATTTAAGCAGTACTACTAACATAGGGAGGAAGATGAAGATGTTTATCAGTGGATAGGAGTCGTTGAGTACATGGCCAATTTAACAGCTATTGAAGCTAGGAGCTGATGCGACTAATTAAGGTCATAAGATGGATCAGTGTTTAACAACGGATGAGCCCACCAGGATTACCTTGAAGCTGCATACAGGCCTCTGTAATAGAGAGCTGCTTCCGTTCCCTAAAATTTTCGAGGAGACCTACGGTAATCGTTTATTTGTAGGGCAAAAAGCATATTAAGGTAGTCTTAGCAGAGTTTTGAAGAATGAAGAGAATGTGATTGTTGGTGTTCGTGCATCAGCAGTCAGGTAACTATTATTTGGACCACGGGTATAAGCTTCCAAGGCCATTTAGAACAGACCGCGAATTTGAGAAATAGCCCGGTTCGTAAAAATTTGAATGGATTTCCAAAGGTTGGGCGCAGAATATTATTCGGTGTTTAGGACTTGCTCGATACAAAGACTGCACCTGACACCTTATAAAAAGTGATTGGACAGCGCACACATTCGACCATATGTGTGTCTTGTCTGTCAAGTAGTTGTTGGAGTGGTCGCTAAGACTTATTTCTTGACACTAGAATAATAGTCGTCCACTGCAACAATCTAGTTGAGAAATGCTTGTTTGAAAACTCTCTTCTTGAAGTTTTAAGATGTATGAAAGTGGGATCAATAGTTATGCTGATAACTAATACCCTGCATTCGATAGTCCGACACCAGAGTTATATTGCTGACCGGATATGGTTGTTGCAAATCATTGGTCAAGCACACGTTTTGTTTAGTCGTTTTTATGAGCTGGCAACACTCGAAGTTTGGCGAACTCCGTATCATGGGTTCAGTGATCGAAAATCAAATCACAGGTTGATACGCTTGAGCTAAAATCTACTTACATTGGTTTGACTAGCTGATCATTAACAATGGCCTTCAGACGAAATGAGCTTAAACCAGGATAGAGAAAACAGGTCAATATATAACACTTTGGAGAGGTACAATGCTTGGGTGGAGGAAACTTCTATAAATTTATCTTTTTCAAATAAAGTCTTCATGAACGGACAACATTTTAGTCATCAGCAGACGACATGTCTTTCTAAACAAATGGCAAGTTTCCTTAAGCTCTACGGTCGAACAATACTAACCCAAATAATCCAAGAAGATAAACTTTCATCAGTTGTACAATGTGATAAATACATGGTTTAACATACTTTTAGTGGAGGTTCATTCATATAAGGTGGTTCTCCATCCAACATTTCAATAATCATAATGCCAAGTGACCAAATGTCAATTTTCGGCCCATAATTTGCAGTTTTCGAAACAACTTCAGGAGCCATCCAATAAGGAGTTCCAACCATGGTTTGGCGTTTACTTTGCCGATTACCAAGCTGAGCACAAAATCCGAAATCGGTGACCTTGACTTGACCCTGTTTTCCGAGCAGTACATTGTCAGATTTTATATCCCTGTGAAAATGTAATTAAATTGATTTATTTTGGTCCGCGTTGTAGGTTAAAGGTAAAAAAGAAGCAATTCTTATTTTAAAAAACTGCTTCACTGTAACATATCTTCAAGCTTCATAACTTGTGCTAGATTATATGACTTATACGAACAGGACTTGTAGGGTACTTCTGGAAAAACTGGTTAAGAATTGATTAGTTCAACTGTATCTTCATTACGACGTGATTATTAACTTAAATAGTTGCACTTTGTGATGCAAATTGGTGGTAGATTCTCAAAATTGATCGACAGGAAGTCATCAGATCCGACAGTAATGCACTTCATCAGTGATTAGAAAGGTAATTCTGGTAACTAGGGTTTTAAACCTATGCCACTGTGTCGCAGTTAAAGGAATCATTAGTGAGCTATTCAGATAAAAATGATCTTCGGTAAGTATATACGTTCCAGAACCCCTTAATCATGTTAATTCTATGGAGATCACTGCATTGAATCTGGGAAGTAATATGCTGTCATTTAAATTTCAATAAAACACTGATCTATACATCATATGCCCTTGTAAATAGCTATACATACTTAAAAGGTATGCACATCTACTAATTTGGTTTGTAAAAATAGATTAATAAATTCACCTACTGATGGAATCAAAGTAAAGGTAAGTTTTGCGAATGTGATTAATGATTTGAAAGAACTGAAAACATAGTGCATAAAAATTGACTAGTTATTTTTTATAGGTTGGGGTAATTCAAATGATATTTGAACTTTTTCAGATACCATAGCAATGTTTGCTTTGTGGGGTAGATTATAATATTACGTTTTTCATAGCGATGAAAAGAAGTAAGCCACGTGATATCTGGAATTGTTATTACAGCCCTTTTAATACCTAGAACGAGATAAAAAAACAGCAAGAAAACATGAGGTTAATGTACTATACCTATGTATTATATTTTGATCGTGTAGAAATACCAAGGCTTTTACACATTCCCGAACAACAGCGGCAATTACGTCTGGGGCCATGACAGTCTCAGTGACTACATCTGTCAGTGCACCACCATCCAGGTATTCCATCACAACCCATAGCTGGTTTTCATTTCTTAATAAATAAGATGCTAAGTAATTAACGATATTTTCATGTTGTATGCGCTTCATGACAGCAATTTCGGAAACGATTAAATCGCGATTAGGCTGCTTATCTAGTTTCATCACTTTGACAGCTACAATTTGTCCTGTTCTTTTATTTCGACCAAGTCGAACGGTACCTGAGGCACTTAAAAATAGACAAAGAAGCAAGTTTACGTTTAAGTTAGATTTATGGAAATTAACAATTGCATAACTATTTATAAACACAATGAGTTGACTAATTTACTGTTGTGCGCTTTCACAACAGCAAAATGATCAGTATGTGATCAAAACGAAGGGGGTAGAGGGGGACACGAGGAAATAAACTGACGTTTCAGACAGTCATGGTGTTTTCAGTTGTATTAATTGAAAACACTGGATAGTATGGAGAAATATAGAAAAACTTAAAGCATTTAAGCTGTTCGTTTAAGGACATTTATGTGTATTCTGGACGTGAAGGTCACTGTCCAAATAAACATGCATAAGTCGGTAAATTTATTTTAAAAAGGAATCAGTAGGTATCCATTTGGTTAGGAATTTAGACCAGATGATATTGTTGAATGGTAGTTTTTTTTCCAAAGGAAAGTGTCATGTTTTTTAAAACTTAAAGCTAAGTTCTTCATTTCATAACATCTTTTTATGAACAGAGTGAGAGGAAAAAAACATTTCAGAAAAGTCATCAGGCTTAGCACGAATTTCAGCACACAAAATTTCTTGGTTTCAAATACCACGTGCTTATTGTGCATTAAGTTAATTAATATTGATCAGCAGAATAAATGTAAACTTATCAAGACAATAAATGGAACAAATTAAAATTTTAATAGAAAAACGCAGATTTACTGATAGGGTTAATTAGCTTTTCTATACTTAGCAGTGACG